GGGGCAGGTGGATGAAGCAGGTGCCTTTCGGCTGCATCCTCGCCTCGCCGTCCAGCCTCCTTCCCCTTGTGTCCCGCACCTCTCCCCGCCCCGCTCACTCTTCCCCATCCTTCCCCATCCTTCCCTGTCCCCTCTGTTTGCCCTCGGGACCCGCCGAACTGCCAGACCCATCCTCTGGGCCCTTTCGGAGCCCCAAACCCACCTACAGGCCCTGGGCAATTTCATTAAGCTCTCTTGGACACCCACTGCCTCTTTCACCTTGTACTTTACACCGGGCTGCTGGGTGTCCCCTCAGGGTGGGGGAGGGAGGCGTTGCTCAGAGGGCTGCATGGAAAATGTTTTGGCTTGCCTTTTTTTTTTTTTTATTTATTTTCTTCTCGTCATCTTTGAAATAAGTTGGTTTTGAGAAGGATGATGTTTTTTCTGTTTGTAGAACTTATACACAACACAGCGTTTCTTCTTTGAATGCAGGTGATTCACCAAATGACCAAAAAAGCCCTGAAGAGGGGCCTGAGAAGAAAAAAGAGAGAAAGTCTGAAGCCTTGAACATCAGAGGTATAACACGGGAATATACTGCTAATACTGTATTAACTTTAAACTCTTTCTGGTTTCCATTTCAGATTTTTTTTTTTCCCCTCAAATATCAGTAAGAAATGGAGCAAAAGCCCAGGGCTCTTCTATGTATATGGACCCAGTTATCTTTAGCAGAAAGGTTTTAGTTGTATGAAATAGCATAGATAATAGCCAAATCAGCATCACACTGTTTTGTTCCGAGTGTGTTTACATTTTGATTTTAATTCTTTAGAAGAGTGCAGCTGAACTTTTTGGAAAGGAGACAACGCCTCTTGCACTGAGCTCAAGTCACTAGAGGCCTTATAGGAAGGTAAAGCAGGTATCTGTGAGGCACTTCTTTGTGTCACTGCTGTAATACTTGAGCAGTTTTCAACTTGAAAATGCTTTCGGGCAGAAAGCGGAATTTCTTTAAATCCTGAGTCAGCATGAGAAAAAGGTGCTGAAACTGGTGCTTCAGCACGGTGTTTTGCCAGGTCCTTGAACTGTGAACCTGCCCCTGAGAGAGTCTGTGGCAGCGTCAGCCCTTCTTACGTTGTGATTTGGCACGTCCCTGGGTATCTGCGGAGTGAAATGGTATAGCTGCTTTAGGAATAAATTAACGAAGTGTCTCTCTCCCTCTGTGTGTAGGTGTCTCTGTGCATACATGTTTACATACCTATTCTGAGCAGAACCCAAAGCAGATCTCTTTCAGTGTATTAAACATTGAGTTTGGCCCTCAAGGAAAGGGCTGTCAGAAGACCGAAACAGGATGGTAGTTTCAGGCTTATTATAGTCACCTGTCAGCATCTGATATTCCTCCAAAGTTGTGTAAGTGGCATCACATGAATTCAGCTTAAAGAGGTCGACATGGCAGTCAGGCACCTGGGTTGTTTTTTTTTTCCTTTGGTGTGTGTGTCTACCTGTCTTTCAAAAGTATTTTCAGACTTACACAAATGCGTCTGTAAGGGAAGACGCTTTGGAAATCAAACCCCGTGCTAGAGCCACAACACTGTCCTGAATGTCTAGAAATTGGTCTCACTGGATATTTTGGCATTATAGTGGTAAAATTATTGGAGCAGGAAAAGCAAACCATCACTTTCAGGGATGGAGGAGAGAAGGATAAGAAACCAGTGAGTATATTTTAGGGAAGGCCTTACTTGCCTCAACGACAATGCTTTGGCAGAATGATGCTGGAAGCTCTCAAAAATGTCTGAAGGATAAAGAGTTTTGTATCAGTTATTTTAAGATACCTGTCATCTTTAATGTTTTTTAAAAAAGGCTCTTTCTCTAAGTGCTACTTTAACTTTAGTCTGTCATCTTTGCAAAATCTATTTTTATTGTCCTTACAAATATTCCTCTCCTCTTTACAGATACATGTCTTTAAAATTCTCATTCAAAATCTATGGTTTTTTCTTTGCTGCTGTAAGTTAGTTATGTAGCTATACTTACTTCATAATCACTTGGCAAAAAATCCTGCACACTATAGAATCAGGGCCTTCCTGAAAACCTGGCTGGACAAAATGGATTGGCAGAGTAATTGGTTCCTTGACTTTTAAAAGTGGTAGGAATAGGAATCCAGTCTTTCTGCCTGACTGGGTTAATTATTGTAGTGCAAAATATCCCTTTTGCTTCTTAAGCATATGCAGAATATTTCAGAGTTTCCAAGACAAGGTGTTGGGAACTATGCATTACCTATGGTGTTACCATACTGACTTTATTTACTAAAAATTCATTTTCGGTTCTATTTTATAACCATAGCTTTAGAAAAAAGTAGGGAAACGGGTTAATTTCTGTCTAGGCCCTCATGTGATGCATAACCAAGATGTACATATTAACGATGTTAATAATGTAAAATAAGCATTTTCCAGATTCCATATTCTCAATTCGTCATTTATCATAATTCTGACATGCTTCCTTTTTTTTTTTTTTTCCTTAATTCGAAAGAAGACTTTCTGAATCATCTTCCTGTTCTTTTTAAGCTGTGCTCTCTAGTTAGTTGCTTTGGCAATTGCATCCTGCCTGTCCCTCTTGTTCGTGCAATAGCTGATAGCCCACGCTGAATCGGGATTATTTGTAAAGGAAAAGGAAACACTGCAACACTGTTAGGAGGAGTAAAGCCCTGTGGGAGTCTGCCAAATGGGGCAGAACAGGCCTGACTCCAGCAGAAAGAGCTGCGCTCACTGGAAGTTTGTACTTTCTTATCTGACCCAAGCGATTTGGAGGAACTCCCTTGGTTATTGCCTTCATTTCTCACACTGCAGATCAATGTTCAGGCAAAGAGCTGGCAAGAAACAGCAGCACAGGCACAGCTCTAGGTCTAACCCAGTGTCCAGCATCACCAAAGAGTCAAAAGTCTTCACTTTGTTAATGAGTTTCAGAGTATTTTACAACTGCTGCGGCCCAGAGGAAGTGATTCAATTGGAGTGAAGCTCTTGAAAGCGCTCGTCATAAGGATGTTAAAAGGAGATGGCCCATTTTATTCTCTCACAGGCTCAGAACAAAAAGTATCGACAAAGAAATTAACTTAATATATTTAGAGATGTTATGAATTAGGTGTGGGTTGGAAATAATCGGAGTCTGAATAGTGAAGACTGACAAAACTGGAGTGCATTTGGGCAATGGCGGGAAGAGGGAAGACTAGGTAAAGTAGTCAAAAAAAAAGGAAGAAAAAAGTTCTTAGATTATTGTAACTTTATAGCAAGAAGACAGCTTTGGTGGTTGTAGTTGAAAGGGCAGCTAAAAATGTGTTATTACAAGAGCTTGTTTGGTGTCTTTACCTCTTCTGCAAAAACATATCTATAGATGTAAAAAGTGGTGCCCAGTGTTCCTCTCCGTTTAGAGTAGTCCAGGCACATATTAAACTGTGGCATCCATGTGACTAACTCTCAAACCAGATTCGGATTTTTTTTGGATCTGAGGGCTAGTAGTGTCGGTGGGGCAAGGTTTAATAGGACTAGTAATCAAGCTTGATCCAAAAATTGGAGTGTGATAGCATTTGGAGCCATAGGAATGGTCTTATGTTTCACTTAGGTCGTTTTTCTGATTTCAACAGTGTCACAGAAGCTGATGGAGGAGAATAACTGTTACTGGGGGTGGCCTGGGGCTCTCTTAGCTTCCAGGGTAGAATGGATAGATTTAGTCATCAATTTTTAATTGAGAATTGAGATATAATGTGCCAGTATCTTTTAATAATCTGCAGGCATTTAAGCAAACACATTTTACGTTGCCATGGCATTGCAGTTGGACCGCAGTTGCTAGCGTACCCTACATGTTTAATAATGCATCCCACTTAAGCAGCTGTGGTTCAGAGTCAGTATTTCCCTCGCTGTTTTGTTCTGAAAGCTGTTATTGAAAACTTTGGTTATGATGTTAGTGCTTGGAATATTGCGTTTTTCATGTCAAGTAGAACAGACTTGAAAAATATAGCTTTATTTCCCCCCCCAAATCCCCCCCCCCCAAAAAAAAAACCAAACCAAAACAAAAACAAACCCCCAAACCCCAAACAACTAATGGAAATTGTGGCATTTGTTTCAGGTGTTCTTTTGCATGTTATGGGAGATGCGCTTGGATCTGTGGTTGTGGTAGTTGCTGCTACAATCTTCCATGTGCTTCCTCTGGGGAACGCTCCATGTAATTGGCAGTGCTACATCGATCCAAGCCTGACAATAATTATGGTGGTCATCATCTTGTCTTCTGCATTCCCGCTTATCAAGGAGACCTCAATTATTTTGTTGCAGATGGTTCCCAAAGGTGTTAATATGCAACGACTCAGTAAGTCATATTTGTTGTTGAAATGCTATTAATTTTAATGATATATTTCAATGCATATGTTATTTCTGAAATTACATGTTTGGATTATTTACTCATAATAGCTCTAAATTCTCAAGAACCGTGAGAAATAGTCACATGCCTGTGTCCTAGCAACATGACTCAAATCTCTTTGGATTAGTTAAAGCATGCATTTTGAGAATGTGGTACTCCAACAATACATCAACAATACCAGGTCTTGAGCTGTTAATGCTTTGTGAGGGGTGTTTGTGAAAGAAACAACACTGAATTACAATATTTCTGAACCCTGCAGCAGCTTCTTCCAAAAGGCTTCCAAAACAGCTTAGAAATTTCCATTAAGACTGGTTGCTTTTGTAGCTCTCTGGTGTTGCCCACGCTGGTTAATTGTGGGGTAGCACTGGTTATTTCTGGAATTCCACTGTGCTTGGGGATCAAGAAACCAGAAGATGTGGGATCTTGGCTGAGAAAGCGGTGCTCTTAACGTTGCTTCTGTGAATAGCCATTAGGGAGCCTGAGGGACTGGGTGAACCCAAAAGGAAGGCTGGCCTGCTCCTGTGGTCATCTGGAGACTGAACCAAAGGCAGCTAGGGCTCTTAGTGGAAAAGCTAGTAATTAACCAGTACATCAAAGCCTCTAATACCTTTCTCTTATGTCTTCCAGCTGACAGACTATCTCGTGTACCAGGGGTTAGCAGCCTTCATGAGGTGCATGTTTGGGAGCTTGCAGGTGGGAAGAATATTGCTACTCTTCATATCAAGTGCCAAACCCCTACTGATTACCAAGATGCTGCTTATAAAATACGGAAGGTTTTCCACGAAGCAGGGATCCATTCCGTGACCATCCAGCCTGAGTACGTTGACCACAAGACCTCCCAGCTACTGTGCAGCTCACCCTGCATCTCAAAAGCTTGTGACTCTCAGCTGTGCTGCAGTCAGCGGGAGCACCCCCTGGCAAAAACTAATGGCTATACTGAGAAAAATGATAGTTACCTTTCTGCACTGCATAAAGACAATGGTTCAAGCAAAAACGATATTGAAATCCCTATCGAGTACCCACCAGCAGAGGATAGCTTTAAAAATGGGAAAAATT